ATGCTACTCCTCAGGGACCTCCCAAGTCCCTGTGTGTTAATCCTATCATTAAACAGGAGTCAGCCCCCACCATGCTGGGCCTGTGCTGATCACTGGGCAAAAGGGATATCCCCAGGCATGACTCTTCCTGAAGCCGTGTGGTGGATGAGGGGAGAACCAAACATAATGTTACCTCGGGGCTACCCAGCAGAAGCCAGTGGGAAAAGCAAGGCTTCTCTACCCTGTGCCATCTCCCCTAGAGAGCAGCTGACTCCTGGGTAGGTCAGTTTATCTCTGTGGCTCCTCCCTCATTGCAAAAACACTATCTTATTGGCTTCTACACTGTTCGCTAGACTGGGGTGTCTGTGAGACCAGGGTTGGGGGTCCCAAGCATGTCTGCCCAGCCCAGAGCCACTCAGAGAAGGGTTAGTTTTATTATATACTTATTTATTTATATTTTATGTGCATTGGCATTTCGTTTATGTGTGTGTCTGTGTGAGGGTGTCCGATCCCCTGGAACCAGCCTGTTATAGACAGTTGTGAGCTGTGGTGCGGGTGCTGGGAATTGAGCCCAGGTCCTCTGGAAGAACAGTCAGTGCTCTCAACCTCTGAGCCATTTCTCCAGTCCCTCAGGAAAGGATTATTAAATGATTCAGCCATGGACAATGGATGCCAGACTCCATGTGCCAAGGGGCTGAAACTCTGCACCAAGAGTGAAGTGGTCACAATTATAGAGCATCCTATAAAACACCGGTACCTCTATCCTTATGTCTGGGCCATTCAAAAACCACATGGATGCAGTCTCTATGTGCAAAGGGGCTTCCCACGCTTACACAGTCCATGTGCACACAGAACCTGTCTGACTGCAAAGCTCAAGTATGGTCCACACTTGAGTAAGACTGTCCTTCAGGGAACTTGCTGATCAATGCGGAGCCTACACAGGAGCTGTTTCCAGACAGCAGGTCTTCTGCTCTTGCCTCACTCTGTCAGAGCCATGCCACCATGGGTACAGACCTCCACCTGCCTCAGGCCATCCTCCTGCTTCCTCACTGAGCCACCCTGGGAACCCATCTTCAAAGCACCACTTCTAGACTAGTCCTGTTTACTTAGCCTGGTATCTTATGGCTGTGCGAGCATGCCATCTCCTTTGGTAGCTATATGACCTGGACATATAGACTGCTTCTCTTTGGCTGTACAGTCACTGGGGCTGGCCTGAGATGGGCCCATAACTGGTTTGGTGCCCTGAAGTCTCTATCTGGAAATTCTGATTTGTTTTGTTTTTTGTTTTGTTTTGTTTTTTGAGACAGGGTTCCTCTGTAGCTTCGGAGGCTGTCTTGGAACTCAGTAGACCAGGCTGGCCTGGAACTCAGAGATCTACCTGTCTGCCTCCTGAGTGCTCAGATTAAAGGCATGCACTGCCAGTGCCTGGCTCTGAATCATTTTTTGAACACAGGCCTCTCATTATTTCTCACTGAGTCACACGTGATGCAGCCATTCCCACCTGAACAAACTCCTCTGAGCCTCAGTTCTCTCTGCAAAAGCGACAGGGTTTTTTTGGGGTTTTTTTGTTGTTTTTTGGTTTTTGGTTTTTGGTTTTTGTTTGTTTGTGTTTTGGACTGCTGTGAGCTCTTTTGAGGGTAGTGGATGAGAAGATGCCTTCTTGAGTGAATAGGGCTATGCCTCTGAGGGTGGTTCTCTTGCAGGAGAGGTGGGGCATTAGGAAGAGCCCAGCAGTTCTCAGCTGGAGCCAGGACACAGAAAGAGATGAACTCATGGGATCACAAGTGAACTTGTCGCTGAAAGAAGCCCTCTTTCCCTTAAGCTCTAGCACGATAGTTCTAGTGGACAGACCCGGGCCTTCCTGGGCCAACCTGTACACCAGCCCCAGCTCAGGGACTGGGATGGGGACCAGAGAAGGCCACCGGAATGAGAAACAGGAAGAGCCCAACCCCTGGAATAGACTGCTACAGAGTCCAAACCTCATCTACCACCCACTATAAAGAGAAATGTTTTTCAAATTCCTCTGAGACAGTAGTGGTCAAATGTCAGATCTAGGTGGCCTCCAGTCTTGGGGGACAGGGGTGTCCATTGTCAATGATGCCTTTGGCAGTGCCCAGGGCTTCTGATTGGAAATTTCTAGAGACAGGATGTTCAGTCTCACCATGCCAGCCTGTGTCCCACAAGGGACCTTGATGGGCTCTATACATGTTACATTTTGTGGCATCCCTGACCCATAATTATATGGCTGAGGTGGAGAAGGCAGAGGTGAGGGCCCATGGAGGCCAGATCAGCCACCGAATTGCTCGGTATTTACCTATTCTACTCAGAGCAAGGCAGTGGCCTAGAGGAGGTACTGTTTGACTGTGACACCATAGGACAGTGTGACATCATGGCCACAGTAAAAATAGAGACTACAGTTGGGAGCTATAAAGAAGCAGTTTGACCATGTCCCAGGGGAGGTGGGGGAGAGGCTCAGACTCAATGAGCTGGATAGAAAAGCATTCCTGGAGTAGAGAGCTCCCTGGAGAGGGTAGACACAGACAATTAGGAGTAGTGTTTAGCCATGTGTGTGGCTGCACAGGCCCCTGGAGTTGGTTTGGCAGAGGCAGTTAAAGGACATTAGGTAAGACCCTGTGCCCAGGGAGCTGTGTGTTTAGTTTAGTCCAACCAGGCAGATCCCAGCCACCACTGCCACTAGGCCTATGTAGCTTGGGCTTAGGCTCCCCATTGAGGAAGTAATGTCCAGGAACTGGAAAGGCAGGGATGTGAGACATGGAGGGCACAGAGAGGGTCTGGTCTCTGGTGATCATTGTAATGAGATGCTGTGGGCTCAGGGACTGACAGAATCAGAACAGAGGCCTTCTGATTCACTGGGGACTCAGAGCCTGAAGTCTGCATCAGTCATTGGCTGGGGTAATGCAAGGAGGACTAAAAGCCTGGCAAGGAAGAGAATGACTTGCAGCGGGGGGTGCAAGAATGGGTGACCACTGTGCCAGAACCCAACTCCCCATCTCAGCCTCGGTCTACCTAATGAGCAGATGGGGCCAGCAGGTCCCTAAGGCCTCCTTAGTTAAATTTCAAGTCCCAACAAAGGGAAAGGAGGAATCACAAACTATTAGGTTTGGTTCCCAACTACACAGTCCCTAATGCCTGAACCACACCTCCACCACCAGAGAGGCCCAGGGCCCACCCAGCCCCAGCTGGCATCACCCACCCCCTCCCCCACACCCCAGTATCACTGAGCTGTAATTACCCACACCTGGGAGACGGGTATCCTTTCTGCCCCTCTCTAGAGGGTCGTCCCACATGAAAGGTTGGCAGGCTCTCCGCTGGGGTGGGCGGCAGGATTCCCCCTCTGGTTTAACCCCAGGAAATCAAACATGTGGTGAGCACCCCCAGGTCCACACCTGGGCCTTATGGCTTTTAAGTGGAAAGTGTATTTGATCTTCACCTTCACCCTGCGGGGAGAAGCGCATCTTCTCACTCCCCAGGTGTGGGGCTGCCTTCCACCTCACCCTACTGCCCCAGTGGATGCCCCTGTGAGGAGATGAGAGGGTACACATAGGCTACAAACTGGTTAGAACTGGTCCATGCTGGCACAGGGGCCCGCCTGCCTAAGTGTGAGGAAGGTTGGCTTCACTGTGCCTAGACTTCAGGGGAGGGCTTCAGAGAGATGCTTGGATCATAAAGGATAAGGAAATAGGTCTTGAATACCACAAAGTCACCCACTCACAGAAACTTCCCATCCCTGGCTGGAGGTATTAAGCTGAAACTCAGAGAGGCCAGCCAAGAAGAGTGTTAGGAGGAAAGGACATCTGCTTTTAGTGGCAACCACAGCTCTTCCTGGATGGCAATGGCTAGTGGCGATGTTGGCCTTGAGAAAATCAGGGGCTGTCCTTGGGGACCGCCTGGTCTCTCAGCAAATGACATTCACCACTGTGACCTAGCACATGCAATCGGCTTGTACTTGTATGCACACAAGGCTATCAGGCTTCTGTCCCTCTCCTGACACCCCTACCCTCTCTTGGGCAAAGTTCAAAGGCAAGACACCATGAATCTGATGCAATTAGCAGTGTGGACTGCTGGTACCCAAGAGTCTCCCTTCATCCCTTCTCTCAGGCTAATTCCCAAAGTCTTTGCAGAGGAGACCTGTGACATTTGCAGAATTGAGTAAGAACCTTCCTGGAAAGCAGCCATAGCCGCAGGCACCAGGTGAAGCAAGGTGGAGGCGTAAGGGTAGTGCAAGCTGTGGAGATCAGCGCTCAGTGGTGCTCAGCTGCCCCACAGTTAAAGGTCAGAGAAGCCCACTCACACAGCCCTGTTTCCGGAGAACCAAGCCTTCCAGGTGCTCGTGAAGAAAACCAGGTGGCAAATGACCAGAGGTCTGGGAGAGTGGTGGGCAAGCCACAACATCCTGGAGAGCCAGCCCTGCCAGTCTTCTGCAGGCCTGCAGAGGCTCACTCTCACCCCACAGCAGCTTCAGTGACCTCCATTATGCCCCCAGCCACTCTGGCCCCTTTGAATTTTGCAAGAGAAGGGGAAAAAGCACTAGACAGGCTTCAAGTGGACAAAAACCAGACGCTTTGGTAAATGGTTCAGCGAGAACAGATGTGAGGCTGGGAAGGTCCCTGGGTTGATGGATGATGTGCAGTCCTATGGCCAGGCCGGAAAGCCGTTTCACACCAGGCTTAGGCGCCCTCATGCCTTCGGGCAGCCACCAACAGGATTGGATGACTGAACCCAAGCAGAGCAAGGATTTAGAACACCACTAAGTAGCTGCTAGGCTGTTCTCAGCACTGATCATAAGAGTGAACCCCTCACTCCACTGTGAGTAACCTTTACCCCTTAGCACAGCCCTAAGTCATCTGTGGACATTTCCATGGGACCACCACTAGCTCAGGAAGTATCCCAACAGCCAGGGTACCAGGGATGAAGCTTGAGCCTAGATTCTTGCTTCCACTGATAGGAAAAGATTGTAGCTGGTTCCTGGGAAAACATCTCTGTCTCTTCCCCTCCCCCAGAGACCTGTGCAGTGAACAATGGAGGCTGTGACCGGACATGCAAGGACACTGCCACTGGTGTGCGGTGCAGCTGCCCAGTTGGATTCACGCTGCAGCCGGATGGAAAGACATGCAAAGGTCAGCACATTGGCTGTATCGGTACCGCCCTGTAGCCCCAGAAGGCCCATATGGTCCTACAGCTGGGTCCTGTTAACCAGGCTGGAGGGCAGATGGATCAAGGCAGCTGGCAACCACAGGGCTTGTCGGAGACGATAAGAAAAGGAAGACTACCCAGCAGGGTACTGAGGCACACCTGTAGTGTCCTGGGTCAGGAAGGTCCTGATGCCATAAAATTTGCCTGTGGCTTAAGAACTAACAGGAACCACAACAGAGTATCTCTGGGCCTTCGACTCCAAGAATGCTATGTGGCCCAACCTTTGGCTTTCAGTTGAGTGGCCTTTAGTGTTGAGCTGGTAGGGACAGCTTGGTACAGGGCATACATCATTGTGTGTCACTACCACAAAATATAGAAGGAGACCTCAACCAAAGGCAAAAGGACTTTGGGATAGAAATTGAGGAGTCTGAAAAAAAAGAAATTGAAGAATCTGGAGGTGAGAATGAAAATGGCTGAGGACTTCCCTGCAGCCACACAAGAGAGAAAGTGGGGTGCAGTTCCCACTGTTTCCCTCGCAGCCCATTGATGTCACAGCAAGCCAGCCCTCATATGGAACCCCAGGCTAGCAGAGAGTAGACCCAGGCTTCACTGTACCCTCTGAGGCATAGGCTAACCCTAACATGAGTGCTGTGTAGAGCTTCATTCCTGTGATGAGCCCAGAGTGGTCAGGAATGGAGACAGACACCAGCTGCTCACCTCTAAGAGTCAACTTATCTATCCAGAAAGAGCCTGGGCCATATGTGGTCTGAGATGAGAGGGGCTGCTGCCATGCCAGTAGCCAAACCATTCCTGCTGTGTACACCATTTGGGGGAAGATAGGTGTGAAGGAGACATCATAGCCTTAGACCCTTTGGCCCCAGTCCCTAGTGCTTCTTGGTTTCCCATGGCTCCTCTTAAAGTGGTTGGGGCCCTTTAACCAGGTCGGCCCTTCTTTAACCCAGCCTTTGGCCAAACCTCCTCCATAAACATGAGTCACTCCTTGGGGCCCTTGCTCCATCCTGACTTCTGGAGTGGGCCTGCACACTCGTGTAACTGATGTGCTCTGACTCCCTCTGGGTTCAGGCGATGGGAGGAGGGGTACAGAGATGACTTCAATAAGTCTCTGCTGTAGAGATGCACTAGCATCTTGCCCATGCATGAGGAAGTCCTTATCAGCTACAGGTGGAAGGTGGTGGGGGCAGTGGCTTTCACCAGCATAGGGGGTTGAGAGCATTTCCAGGGACTTCTGGCCAGGCCCCAGTCAAGGTTAGGTAGGGCAAGCACAGGCCCAGTTTGTCACTTTGAGATGGTCTCATAGCACTGTCTGGCCTCTGGCCTCTGGCCTCTGGCCTCTGGGCAGAATCTAAAGGAGCATCAAGGCTTCTTTCTGGTGGCATTGCTTGGGCCAGGTGACCATGGCAGGGGAGAAAGCAGAGTTGAGATTCTGCTATGGATGCTACTAGCATTGAAGGGGTGGGGACTCATGTGTAAGTGCCTAACATGGCCATCATGACATCTTCAAGTCAAAGAAGCCAGGTAGCACCACAGACGCCAGGGCTGGGGTTTGTGGAGTTCTTGATGGTGGGCTAGGGAGTTCCCAACAGGTCTCAGGGATCTGGGCAGCATGAGCCAATGGGGGATTCCTAGTGAACCAAGGGCCTGCCCTGGGGTTCTAGCTCACTAGTCAGGCTCACACCCTGATCTTGGCGAGGGTCCCGAGGACAATATCAAAGGGATGACTTCAAAGGTTCGGTGTTTTCTGAAAGCCCACAAGACATCATCAGGCAAGACAGGTGGCTGCGGGGGCAGGGGCAGTGACAGCTGGGAAATCCACAGCAGAAAGCCCTGAGCCTGCTAGGAGCAGCAGAGCAAGTGGAAGCAGGGTGAGAAGATGGAACATTTGCTCGAGCATGGGGGTCAAGGGCCTAGGGAGTTTACCCCAGACTTAGCTCTGCTCTAGGCCAACAGCCCTAGGCACCCTGTTTGGTACAGTGCCACTTGCTATCAGATGGGCATCATGGCTTCTGATACTGAAGCCCCTCCTCCCACCATCTCCCAGAACAGCCTGGGAGAGCCCCCACCCACTGTTCTTTCTCCTCCTCTCCCATGCCCTGGGCTAAGCAGGCCACCTGCCAGGACTTTCATCAAAGTGGGAAAGAAGGTTTTCTCACCTGACTTGCCGGCCAGGCCAGCCCAGCACATGGGTGCCCTCTGTACCCACCTGAAAACTCATTGGCCCCACAGGTGGCCAGATTGTGCCCAATGGGATAGAAGGGAAGAGGAGTTTGATGTGTGCATTCCTGTGGCTCACCCCGTTAGAGCACCCCATACACATCAGCCCAGCCCAGAGCCTCTGTGCCCTCAGCTCCCACTACTGTCTAGGATCCTTGCCTTGCTACTGACGATGTCATTCATCTCTTAATTTTGTGAACATTCTCAGGAAGTCTCTGGCCCTCAGGCTTACCTCTGCGGTCCTCAGGCTCTCTCATGTCCTCGAGAACAGGATCCATGACAAGAGAGTGGCTGAGACAGCTTCTCTAGGAGTGTGGTGGGCAAAGCCTGCAGAGACTCAGCAGGGAGAAGTGGACAGCTGAGGCCAGACCCAGCTGCAGGGGGAAGAGCTATAAGAATACAGCCTTTATCCTGGGAAGCCAGAGGCCTCAGCACACTTGACAGATAGACTGTAGGAGATGGTACTGGTTGCCATGGCAGGGAGGGGAGCACAGAGTGAAGGGGAGAGATGAGAGAAAAAGAAGTTGCACTCTGGGGACTCATTGGAGGTTGAGGGCCATATGAGGCCAACAAGCCCCTACTAGATCCTATGCTGGAGAGAGTGGCCTTCACTACCTCCACTTAGCTGGCTACACCAGCCTGAGCTTTTTTTCATTCTGACCCTGTGACAGCCCCTTCGCTGATAGGCTCAGGTGGGGAAGGGATGATAGGAAAGCTCCGAAGGCCTGAGGCACTCTTCGTGGGAAGGTCAAGAGTCCCACTCTGGGCAGCACCAGGGCTCAGGTGGGCAGGACATGAATGGAAGGGCTCACAGAGGTGGATCGACATCCTTGAAGTGTTTGCCAGAAGCCCACACTCTGAAGGAGAAAGCTCCCTATCACTGAAAAAATGTGAGCTGGAGTCCACTGGCAAGCTTGCTCATGAGAGGTATCATGTGAGGGCAACATAAATGGCATGGGGTGGAGTCAGTGGTCTGAGGAGGATAGTCTCACTTCACTAACTGCTGAAGTGAACAGGTCTAGCCAACAGACCGGGAAGTGGGGTGGGCCCAGACCTCACTCACCTGAGGAAGCCTCATGGCCTCCGGGGTGCTTCCTCCTCCACAGACTCTCCTCAACAGGCAGCACGCAGTGACACCAGCTCCTCAAGTGTACTGACACCCCTAAGCCCCAGCACCTTGGAGATGTGATTTCTGTCACCCTCATGTTGTCTGTCCTGTGTTATAGGGACCCTTTTTATCCTCATCCTGGGATGGGAGAGGGGGCATAACTTGCCCCATGTCACCGAGGCAGCATTGCTGCGGCCTCACTCCTTCCAGAATGCCTCCTCAGATGTTTGGGTAAAGGGTCATTGAAGACATCACTGTCCCTGTTGATCCCTGAACCCTAAAACAAGGTACCAGGGTTACCAATCACAGGGGAAGTCAGGGACCTTGGGGAACCAGGGTTTAGCTTTTCACCCAGGTTCTTCACATCTGTGCTCAACTGCGGACCAGAGCCAGTCCTAGGCAATGAGCAGCAGGCGGGTCAAGGCCAAGAAGGCAGGATGGTACTACCCCTTCCCCAGGCCATCCCCACCATGGCACCTGAGCCTCCTCCCCTCCCCAACCTCTTCAGACATCAACGAGTGCTTGATGAACAACGGAGGCTGCGACCACTTCTGCCGAAACACAGTGGGCAGCTTTGAATGCGGCTGCCAAAAGGGCCACAAGCTACTGACGGATGAGCGGACATGCCAAGGTGAGCACCTACCAGGTCCCAGGTGCCACTCACAGTCAGCCCTCATGGACAATGCCCCTGTCTTCCAGATTCTTGTAGACTCGCAGGAGAGGGAAGTGCTCAAACTGAGTAGCTCAGGATACAGAATTCTACAGAGTTTGGTGCCTGCTCTTGCCTACCTGTCCCTCGTGACTTAGAGCCACACAATCCAACCTTGTCTCCTGTCTGCTTTATAGATGGGTAAAGTGCTGGGCATGGAGCTGCATGCCCCGGTTCTAGCCGGGACATGGTTTTAAGATTGAGTCTAGACTGGGCTACACAGTGAGACATAATCTAAAATATATTTATGGGAAAGTAAGGCCCAGAAAGGGACCCACCCACACTCTCTCCTCCCAACCATGCCTTCCTCCTGCAGGCAGCCCAGTTCTGAAGGCTCAATACTGCCTTCTGGTGGAAGGCATTGCACATCACAGACATTTTCCCATCAGAGGCATGGCTTCTGCTAGGACAAGAATAACAGATTCTGGCTGGATTAAGTAGCCAAGAGTCACAGGACAAGCCCAGTAGCCCCTAGGATACAGGCATCCCAGAAGGAGGGTAATCAGGGAGATTCCTGGGAAAGATACTGGTGACACGCTGGACAACTTATTTCCCAAGACAAACAGGAAGTTGGCTCATTAGAAGAAGCTTGGGGTACATGAGACCTTAGTGGGGCTGAGCAGGGCCTTTGGGAAGGAGGCAGGTGCCCTGAAGAACCAACTTGGGGAGAAAACATGAAAAGCATCAGAGCCATAGTTGTAATGGTGACTATCCTATCAGGATTAGGCTCTTTTGTACCCTGTAAGGCCCCCGTAGCTGCAGAGCAGGCGAACCTGTGGTTATTAGATGGCAGCCTCTGCCTGTGAGTACAGGTCAGTGTCTCAGCAGTGAGGCCCTGAAGTCCTAGGTCCTGGTAAGAAAAGGCTGCCAAGGATACCCAGAACCAACCTGGCCTACTTACTGGGTCAAGGCCAGCCATACCCTCCCCAGGCCAGGCCTTGTTCCCCTGGGTGAACATCCTGGCCCATTGTTTCTAGATGCAGGCTGGTCAGGATCCCAGCAGCTGGCCAGCCCCTAAATGATCCTCCATACTCCAGCTTTGTTTCACCATCACTTTACCAAGCTCTATGGTGGGCCAAGGGCAGTGGTTCTCAACATGAAGGTCACAACCCCTTTGGGGGCCAAACAACCCTTTCCCGGTGCGGGGGGGGGGGGTCACATTTCAGATATCCTACATATCAGATATTTAAATTATAATTCATAACAGTAGCCAATTTATAGTTATGAAGTAACAATGGAATTAATTTTATGGTTGAGGGTCACCACAACATGAGGAACTGTATTAAAGGGTCTCAGCATTAGGAAGGTTGAGAACCACTGGCCAAGAGTCTTGAATCCTCAACCAGCCCTGAGAGAACAGACCAGGTAGTAGGCACACTCAGGCTCTGCACCAAGGCCCTTGCTGGCATACTCCCCTCCCAGCCCCATTTGTATCTCCACCCTTTTGCAGCTCATCTATCTGAAGGCTCCCTGGGTCCATCAAAGAAGAGTTCAAGCTCCTCAGGGACCCTAGTACCTTCTCAGAGCCCTTTGACCTCCCTGGACTTACCCTGTCCTTCACCTGGAGCATCCCTTCTCCTTTCCAAGCAGGGCCCATCCACAGCCCAGGAGGTGCTCCCAAACCCCAAGGAGAGCTTACACGCTCATTTGAGCACCCACAGAATAGCATTTCCCTTGCATTAGGGTCTAATAAGCACATACATATTTCGATTAAGTATATAACATCACTAGATTCAGAGCCAGTGTATTCAAAGAACAAACTCTTTTTTTAAAAGATTTTATTTATTTATTATGTATACAACATTCTGCTTCCATGTATATCTGCACACCAGAAGAGGGCACCAAATCTCATAACAGATGGTTGTGAGCCACCATGTGGTTGCTGGGAATTGAACTCAGAACCTCTGGAAGAGCAGTCAGTGCTCTTAACCTCTGAGCCATCTCTCCAGCCCAAAGAACAAACTCTTAACATCAAAGCTTTTAAAAGCCCAAAGCCCATCCCCAGTGACACACTTCCTCCACCAGAGCCACACCTCCTATTCCTCATAATCCTTTCAAACAGTTTCAGTCCCTGGTGACTTGAGCCTTTGAGGGCCATTCTTTTTCTTTTTTTTAAGATTTTATTTATTATGTATACAGTCTTCTGCCTGCATGCCAGCCGAGGGCACCAGATCTCATTCAAGGTGGTTGTGAGCCACCATGTGGTTGCTGGGAATTGAACTCAGGTGCTCTGGAAGAGCACTCAGTGCTCTTAACTGCTGAGCCATCTCTCCAGCCCCTTGAGGGCCATTCTTATTTGAACCACCACATTCAATTCCTTGGACCCCATAGGCTTTTAGCCATGTCATAATGCAAAAATGCATTTCATTCATCTTCAAAAGTCCCCATAGTCTTTCACAGTCTCAAGACTGCTTAAAAATCCAAAGTCTCTTCTGAGACTCAAGGCAGTCTCTTAAGTGTAATCTATAAAATCAAAATACAACAGCACAGAACATACATTACCATTCCGAAAGGGAGTTAAGGGAGCATGGTGAGGAAATACTAGACCAAAGCAAGGCTGAAAACCAGCTGGGCAAACTCCAAACTCTGCATCTCCATGTCTGATGTCAAGACTCTTCAGATGTCCAACTCCTTTCAGCTTTGTTGACTGCAGCACACTTCTCTTTCTTGAGATGGTTCCACTCCCTGCTAGCAGCTCTCCTCAGCAGGTATCCCATGGCTCTGGCATCTTCAACATCTTGGGATCTCCAGTGAAATCCAAGTTTCTTCTTAGCTTCACATAATGACCTTTGTGGGTCCCCATGCAGGGGCATCCCTGCCACATGCCTTGCTTTAGCAGCTTTCCTTAGATATCCCTCCAGATCCCACAATTCCTTCCTTGTATTTTTGACTCTAAAGCCAGAACCATGACCAATGCTGCCAAATTCTGCTTGTTGGGACTGGAACTTGGCCCCCTGTTCTATAACATTTGTATCAGCTTTCATTTGTTGATGCGTCCCTTCCCTGCTTATGCTTTCCTTTAATTTCTTTTAACAAGTTGGGAGCTTAGCTGGGTGGAGTCTTGCCCTGAGGTTACTACTCCCTTTATTCTATTTAGCATCAGGCTTTTTAAAAACCTTTTTATCCCTTGAGCTCAGGGCTTGGCTCCAACATCACCTTTCCTGGTGCCCCTTCCCCCCTCACACTGTGTGTTTTCTATTTCTCTCTGTTCAGCTTGTTCCTTTGCATTATAGAACTGCATTAGGATGACTACTAATAACCATGTGACATGATTAATACCAGGCTATCTTGAAATCCTCTCTGCCAATGCCATTAATCCAAAACTCTTCAATGTAGCCTCAGGCACATTTCTAGGACCAGGGCAAAAAGCAGTTGACTTCTTTGCCAAAATATCACAAGAATGTTCTCTCAGCCACTTATTAATATTCCTTCCTTCTGAAACTTCTCAAGCTGTCCCCCTGCCACAGTTCAAATCATCCTTAGCACTGTCTTTCATGCTCCTACTAAGATGGCCCATTAAGACACACTTAAAGCATCTAACTTTTCTAGTCCAAAGTCCCAAAGTCTTCCATAGTCCTCCAACAAACAGTATGTCCGGGTCTGTCATAGTAATACCCCAGTCTCTGATACCAACGTCTATGAGATGGCTGATGAGCAGGCAACCCATGACCCTCCTTTCTCTTTTTACTTTGGCTGTGAGAGGAAGTTCATAGTCAAATATCATGTGCTATCAGCTACTTTTTAAAGTCTTGTAGTGGATTCCCTGTCCCTTCTTCCACTTTCCTTAACCTCTCCAGAAACATCTTGGGGAGATGAGAACCCACTTCGGTCAACATTATGAGTTTATATTCCATTTCAGCCCATGAGAGCTCTTGGGCAAGTCCCAGCCATTTTCCTTTCTGACATGTGTATTAAGTTCCTTTCCTATCCCTCAGGCCTGTGATCCCAGTACCTGAGAGGCAAAGGCAGGAGAGTCAGGAATTCAAAGCCAGCTTGGGCTACATAATGAGATCATAGGCACACACACCCCTGTCTCAAAAGTAAAACCAAAACCGGGTGGGGAGATGGCTCAGTATGAAGTGCATACTCGACAGGCTTGAGGTTCTCATATTCCCAGCAGCCACATATACACCAAGCTTGGCAACATGTGCCTGAAAATCCAGCATGGGGAGCAGGGTGAGAAAAGAGAACTTTCAGGCCAGCCAGTCTAGCTGACAGTGAACTTCCCATTCAGCGAGAGACCCATCTGTGAAAAATAAATAAGGCTGGAGTGATGGCTCAGTGATTAAGAGCATGAACTGCTCTTGCAAAGGACCTGGGCTGGGTTCCCAGACTGACATCAGGAGGCTTACAATGGCCTGGAACTCCAGCTCTTAGGGCTCTGATGCCCTCTGCTGTCCTTTGGACACTGTACTCACATAATTTAAAACATAAACATTTTTAAATAAGTAATTAAGATGAGAGTAAATGAGGAAGATACCTCTGGCCTGCACATGTATGTTCAGGTAAACACATGGGCACACACACACAAGCACACATGTGTATATACCACACACACTAAAGCAAATGTAAATATCTTTCCTAACCACAGGCTAATGAGATATTAACATAACAGAGGTCCATAATAATCCTTGACTCATGATACCTTGCCCCACACACTTCTAGAACAGATGTGAGGGGATTCTACCCCAGAAACAGGTAATGGAGGCAGTGTGGGGAAGTGCTCACTAAGAAGCCTGATAGACTGTGGGAGACTATGCTGAGCCTCGGGACCCAGGAACCACCCGGGGGGGGGGGGGGGGGGGGGGGGGGGGGGGGGGGGGGGTGGGGGGGGGGGGGGGGGGGGGGGGGGGGGGGGGGGGGGGGGGGGGAAGGTTTTCACTGGGTGGCAGACCTACCTACTCACCTCACACTGACACCCACACTGTCTCCCTGTGGCCACAGACATCGACGAGTGTTCCTTTGAACGGACCTGCGACCACATTTGCATCAATTCCCCTGGCAGCTTCCAGTGCCTGTGTCACCGAGGCTATATACTCTACGGGACAACCCACTGCGGAGGTCTGCAGCCCGCCCGCCAGGGCCACCTTCCCCTCGAGGCACGCGCCTGGCCATATGGCCATCAACACTGCTCCCTACACCCCAACCCCCACCTTGACCCTGATGGGCCTGGGAGGGACATTGCAAGGCTGGGAATTTTGAGAACAGAGGGACTCTGCCAAGCACAGGCACAGGGTAAAGGACAGAAGGAAGGGGGTGGGGCAGGGCATGGGAGGCACCACAGGGTACCTTAGCCAACTTGGAAGCATAAGCCCAGAACCTCATTTCCTGGGGTGCCCCAATCCAGAAAGGAGTGGCCAGTGCGCAGAAAATTCTAGAAAGTGCACTCTGGAGAAGGGAAGGATTGTGAGACAATGAGAATCCTAAAAGAGGAATGTTTAGGTCAGGATGGGAAAGCAATCCAGAGGGGTCGGCATGCGCCGAGTCCCAGAGGTAGGGGATGTACGGGGATGAGCTCACAAACAGTGGGAAACAGGGTACTATCCCCTAGGGAGAAACATGCCCAGGATATACAGGACTGCATGAGCCTGGAGGATGCTTAGGGGCTTCTTTACAGTGTCACACACAAAAGCAGGAAGGCTTGAGGCAGTGTGCAGTATGGTCATAGTTGTGTGACAAAGGGCTCTGGCTGTGGAGAAAGGGGATATGGGATCCAGGCAGCCTGAGGAAGATGGCCCATGGCCTGAGCCCCTGAGCCTCTGGGGTGAAGGTGAGGGCAGGGGCGGAGGCCAGGGATGGAGAGAAGATTCAGGAACCATCAAGCCTGGGGAGAGAGTTCTTGCCTAGGGCCCTAGATTCCGTGCCCAGCACCAAAGGGAACAGGAGCATAAACTGAACCAAAGGCAGATGTGACTGGTGAAGATGGGAGTGCAGGAGGGGAGGCACAGTCTCTCTTCTTTCTCTGTGACCTGAGGATAGCATGAAGCTTGAGAGGACCAGGTCGTCCTGACAACAGGGGCCAAGTAGCTACTAGATGCTGATGCTGTGCCACCTCCCTGACTGGCAGGACACTTGTGTGCTGGCATCTGGGTGGTGTGGAGCTGGAAGAGCTAGCTCTTGCCTAAAGGAGGCTTTTGGTCAGAGGAGGGGGTCTCGGATGGCTCCTTTCACCCTGGTACAGAAGGGGAAACTAAGGCCGGGAAGGAGCTGGTGCTTTCCCTGGAGAGATAAGACATTCATGATTCTGGGGACCTCTCCCAGGCTGTGCTGGGGTCAGGAGCTTTCTGGTCTCTGGCCCTGGGTGCCCCCTGCCCTTCCAGCACCATGGGTGTGGCCTGAGCTGGTGGTTCCCACCCCCTCCTGCCCTCACTCTTGTGCCTGTGTTTCCAGACATGGACGAGTGCAGCATGAACAATGGCAGCTGTGAACAGGGCTGTGTCAACACCAAGGGCAGCTACGAGTGTATCTGCCCACCGGGGAGGAGGCTGCATTGGAATCGGAAGGACTGTGTGGGTGAGTGGAGAGGGACCACCTGCTGGCCCTGCCCTCTGTATGGGAGGAGGGGGATGCAGGAGATAGTGACTGCAGAAGTGGCGGGTGGGGGCTTCTTGGGTCCTGGGTTAGAGGGAAGGGGTCTCTTGTCACTGAGATTGGCTAATGGGAAACAGAGCTTGTTGATGAGGAGGACATTGGAGGCCAGGAAAGCCTAGTGTCGGCCAGGGGACACAGGAACAGGGGCCCTGAGGTGAGGAGATGGACCACAGATCACGGGATCTGGGAGTCTGTGTAGCCAGTGCTTTGGGCCCCGGAACCCTACTGGAAGCTGAAAGAGGTAGATTGATGACCCCACCTCCATCAGGTCCTCTTCCTTCTGAGGAAGTTCCAGGGAGTAGACTGGCTAGACTCCTGTGGTTGCAGTGGCAGCACCAGGCCTGCAAATCCCTGCCCAGCTGCCAGCCCCTCACAGGGCCAGCACCCTGGTTTCCCATGCCCTCTCTGCAAGGGCCCTGTCTCCTCTAGCTGAGTTCCGATGACTCATGTTCATTGGTCCAACGAATAAAAGATTAGCTGAACCTCCACAGTACCAGGGGGCAGTTCTGGGGTTGCCATGTACCTGTCCTGGAACTCACTCTCCAGGTTGCTGCACTGCCATGCTCTAATGTCCTAGGCAACCAAAGAAACCTTTAAAGGCGAATGATAGGCATGCTGATGTAGGCCTGTGAAATCCCAGATACACTGGAGGCTGAGGCAGGAGGATCAATAAGTCAGTGCCTGCCTAGCTACAGTGTGAGTTCAAGGTCAACTCAGTGAATTCCATGATTTCAAACAATCCAGTGAGATCCAGTCTCAAAATTGAAGTAAACAGAGGGCTGAGGGTATACTTTGGTGGCAAAGCACTTGCCTAGAACACATGAGGCCTGGGTTTAGCCCTCCACTGATGAAAAACCTGAAAGCTCAGACACTCTTCTGAGAACCCTCCAGCAAGGCTTCATTCACGTGATAATCAAAGCCCAGGTCCCCCTCACCCCTTTCTATTCTGTTGTTATTTTAACACAGGATCTCATTATATATCCCTGGCTAGCCTGGAACTCACTATATAGACCAGGCTGACTTCAAACTCAAAGAATCCCCCTGCCTCTGTCTCCTAAGTGCTGGGGTTAAAGGCATACTCAAGCATGTTCAGCCAGGGTCCAGTTGTTAGCATGGCCATCAGACGCTCCCTGCATTTGCTCTATGCCTACCCACCCTGTTTCCACTCTCCCACAGCCAAGGATGCCTGAAGCACTAGGGCTTATCTAGTCTTCACTGTGGTGCTACCCTTCCCCTGAATGCTATGCCATGGGTAGAGGGCTGTCTTAGTCACTGTTCTATTGCTGTGAAGAGAAACCATGACCAAGGCAACTCTTAGAAGAGAAAGCATTTAATTGGGGGCTTGTTTGCAGCTTCAGAGGTTTAGTCCATTATCATCATGGGGGGAGCATGGCAGACATGGTGCTGGAGCAGGAGATGAGAGCTACATCCTGATGTATAGGCAGACAGCTTAGGACTGGCATGGGTTTTTGAAACCTCAAAGCCTACCCTCAGTGACACACTTCCTCTGAAAAGGCCACACCTCCTAATACTTATAATCCTTTAAAATAGTGTCACTCCCTGGTGACTAAGCATTCAAATATATGAGCCTATGGGGGCCATTCATTTTAAAACCACCAAAAGGTGTGACTACCATTGGTGGCCTGGTTGTCACTGCTGGAGAGCTAACTGCCATAGGTCTGATTACTGTTAAACTGTTAAACTGTGTTGGTGAGTGACATGTTATACCACCTTCTCCTTTAAGTCACCTGAGATTGTGAATGTTCTAGACTCTGGGCATGGACTGACTGAGGTCAACAAGTATAATTGAGGACATTAGTAGAAAGTACTGGAAGACTTTCTGTGTCTATGAGATAACAGATCCAAATGCTAGACCCACAGATGGCCAAGGGAAGTTCCAGGTTATTCTTTTTTTTTTTTTTTTTTTTTTTTTTTTTTTTTGGTTTTGGTTTTGGTGTTTCGAGACAGGGTTTCTCTGTGTAGCTTTGGAGCCTATCCTGGCACTCGCTCTGGCGACCAGGCTGGCCTCGAACTCACAGAAATCCACCTGCCTCTGAGGCCTCCCAAATGCTGGGATTAAAGGCGTGCGCCATCAACGCCCGGCAGCTCCAGGTTATTCTGCAACTGAAGACCGTGATGGCAGCAAGATGGCCTTAAGGAGCTCCTCCCTGTTGTTCCACTCCATGTTTGCACAAGCTGTAGTTTTCACTGTCACCCGGAAAGAGGGACTCTTCGTGTCCATTTATTTTGCAGGGCTGAGAATGGAACCCAGGGTCTCCTGCATGCTAGTACTACCACTGAGCCACACCCCAGTAGCTGAGGCTGGCCTTGAACTCTTGATTCCCCTGTTTCCACTTCCCAAATACTAGGATTACACACCTCACCTCAGGGAAAACTTTTGGTGAGCGCTCTGGGTTGCCTGACCCCCATGAATGGCCCATCTAATCCTATGATCTGTTTCACCCATCAAGAGGACACTGTTCCTCCAGTTCCTACAAGGAGAACACAGGTTACTGAGTGTTGGAGTGCAATGTCCTAAAGTTGGAAAGATCTTACAGCCCTCACTGAGCAGTCAGCCTGGTCCTAGTGCTATCAGCTAGCCAGCTTTTCCTGAGAGATATGACCTTTCGTAGAGGTGCCAGGCTGGAGAAAGGGGGATGATAACCACAGAAAGCCAGCAGGGATCCCCAAGGCTGCCTTTCCCTCTCTGTTTGATCACAAATTGGCTTGTGGTTCTCAAACTGGCAATAAATGGAGATCTGATTATAGAATTCAGATAGTGGCTATCCCGGAAAAGGTGAAGTACAGGTGGGTTGTCATGCATGATAGGTTAAGTCAGAAGGGTTGAACATTACATCCAAATGTTGGGAACCATCATGAGAAGACAGGACAGTTGGGTAGGGTGATGCACAATTGTCATCTCAGAGCTTGGGAGGTAGAGATAGGAGGATTGGGAGTTCGAGATTCTCCTTAGCTACATGGCAAGTTTGAGGCCAGATGGGGCTACATGAGACCCTATCATTTAAAAAAGACTCAAGTGGGAATGGAGAGATGGCTTAGAGGTAAAGAGCATTGACAGTTCTTCCAGAGTCCTGAGTTCAATTCCCAGCAACCACATGGTGGCTCACAACTATCTATAATGAGATCTGATGCCCTCTTCTGGTGTGAGGGCAAACATGCAGACAGAACATTATACACATAATAAAATAAATCTTAAAAAATAAAAAAGACTGAAGTGTTACACTTGAAGTGTACCACACTCCAAGGAGCACATGGAGTTAGGCCATAGCTGACATCTAGATGGGTTTCTTCCCATGGCTCTTGCTAAGCTGTGTGACATCAACTTCTGCTGTGAATCCTGGGTAGTCAGTTTCTGTGCACTGGAATGGTCTCTGCAGAGCCTCAGCTAAGGCTTCTCCAGGGTGACGTTACATCCTAGAAAATTCATTTCTAGTCTTCCAGGGCATCGAGGAGAGTGAAGATGGTGGCATTTCTAAGCACTTGATGACAAATTTCCTCCAATAGAAAGAGCCTATTACTTGTTGAGTGCTTTGGAGTGCCACAAATGTGAAGTGGGATGTCCTGTCTCAGCTCCTGTGAGTGCAAAGATCCTTTTCAGTAGGACTGCTTCAGCTCACCTAGAAGACAACTCTTCCTGTATGTGTTTCTACCCACCGAGGGCCCCAGGAGTAGCCTAAAGCTCAGTTCCAATCCGTCTGTATATCTGCTTAGGGCTCTTGGTTCCAGCACAGTGATGATTGCTGGAACACAGGAAAACCTTCCTGGCTGTGAGATGGTCTCATAGGGAACAGCCTGGTCTCACCAGATAGCATCCTCCTCGCTCTCAGGATCAGTGTGCTACCAGGCACCATATCTGGTGGTGCATGGGATTTGTCTGTCTGTGCTAGGGCAGGCCCTGACCTTAGTGCTCAGATCAGAGCAGCCTGCTGAGAGTGGGGAGCTGGAAAGCCACTTCCTGCGACTTCTGGCTCCTACATCAAGGTTCTCAGAGTTCAGCTGTAACCATAAAGTGCTCTGTTTCCTCAGCACTCCAGAGTTGCTCAGGACTCCAAAAGCTCTACCATGCCTCTCTGTAAACATGTGCCCTGTTGTCTGTAGCAACAGTACAGGTCTGAGACAGGCTCGACCCAACTGGGTAATTCCTTCATGTTCAGGCTGATGGCATCTCTCTTGGGTTTGTTGTTTGTTTGTTTTTTTTTCTTTTCTGTCAACAGCTGTATTGGGATGTAGCTCACATGCCATGCATGGAATTCACCCATGCAATTCAGTATATAGTACAGCGGGGTTTTAGTACATTCGACCAGTTACATGAACCACCACGTGACTATGTGGATACTCACTCCAAGCAGGGCATCAGGTGTCTTCCTCTGTCACTCACCAAGTAAGCTTGCCAATTAGCTGTCTCTGCCTCCCCAGAACTGGGATTACAAGCCTATGATGTCACATCCAGCTTCTTTAATATGTGTTCTAGAATCAAACTTGAGTCCTCATGCTTGTGAGGCATGGACTTTATCAGCTGAGTTATCCCCAGCCCTAGACAAATGAATTTTTTTATAATTTATTTATTTTATGTGCATTGGTGTTTTTCCTGCATGCATGTCCTTGTGAGGGTGTCAAGTCCCCTGGAACTGGAGTTACAGACAGTTATGAGCTGCCATATGGGTGCTGGGATTTGAACCCAGGTCCTCTGGAAGAGAAGTCAGTGCTCTTAACTGCTGAACCATCTCTCCAGACCCATGGACAAATGATTTTAATGGAATTCTGTATAATGAAATACAGAGTTCAGCACCAAGGAAACATGGATTATTTAAAAGAAGAAGAAGAAGAAGAAGAAGAAGAAGAAGAAGAAGAAGAAGTCGTCAAAAGGGACTGGAGACCAAGCTCAGCAGTTAAAAGCATTGGCTGCTCTTTCAGAGGACCCAAGATCAATTCCCAGCAACTACATGGTAGCTCACAACCATCTGGAAGTCCACTTCAAGGGGATCCAGCACCCTCTTTTCACTTTTATGAGCACCAGGCACACACCAGAGTACATAGCCATGCTTATAGTTAAAGCACTCATACACATAAAATGTTTTCAGTCTTCTAACAATAACCATAGGAGATGTTCTGAAGAGCTGCTTTGGATATCTACAGGTGCCTCCTGAATGAGGGTGCTGCCCCTCCCTATACCGTGAAGTTGGTCTCTGCCCAGATGCCCATGTCCTTATGCAGCTACCTCTGACCCCAGACAGGTCCCAGTGCATGCTTTAAGGACATACCTGCCTTCAAGAGCTCTTATCTGAGGATGCAAATGACCTTTCCTCAAACAGTCAAGACCAGGATTGTAAGGGGACACAATAAGCTGGCTGTCAGTGGCCAGCTGATCCACTGCCAAATAGACCCGCCATCTTCCTGCTACATTCTGGCCCTGTGATCCACATTCAAGACCCCTGCTAGCACCCAGAGGTCCCCTGGTCTCAATCAAGACCTCTCTGTCTCTCTTCTCCTCAGAGATGAGCGGGTGCCTGTCTCGTTCCAAGGCCTCTGCCCAGGCCCAGCTGTCCTGCGGCAAGGTGGGTGGAGTGGAGAACTGCTTCCTGTCCTGCCTGGGCCACAGTCTCTTCATGCCAGGTAACCCCTGGCCCTCTGGGATGGGATGGGTCAGTGTGTTGCTTCCTGGGGTACACACCTGCTTCTTCCTACTGCTCAGCAGGACAGAGCCCAGTACAGGGCTCCCAGTCACAGAGCACTCCCAGACAGCTAGGTGTCGGGCTCTCTGTGGATCTGGGCAGCTTCCACAGGAGCCAGTCTTGATCTTCAATCCATTCAGCAACTGTTACTTGGAGACCTCAGGAATCTGGGGCCCTGGGAATGAGGTACACCCTAGCCAACCTTACCCACCCGCCTCTCCACAGACTCAGAAAACAGCTACATCCTGAGCTGCGGTGTTCCAGGTCTCCAGGGCAAGACGCTACCGAAACGCAATGGCACCAGCTCTGGTGCAGGGCCCAGCTGCTCAGGTAACCTTGGGCCTGTCCACACCATGCATGCCTAAATGACCATTTTATTTTTCATCCAGTGCATAATTTAGGAAAGGGAAGGGGATCACCCAGGGAAGCATTTTCCATTCTGGGCCATGCCCATCATAGCTTGGGATTCTGGAGACATGACAGGACCAGGACCTAAAAGCTGGAGGCTGGAAGCTGAGGCCCAGCCCACAGAGAGCCACAAGATGCCTTTCTGATTTCGGTTACAGTAGTAGAGTGATTCAAAATCTATAAAATGTTGTGATCCCTGGGAGCTCTTGTTACTGCCATTGTTTGACGTAAGAGTCTCATATAGAGCCCAGGCTGGCCCTGAACAAGCAATGGAGCAAAAGATAGCCTTGAACTTAGTCCACAGAGCAGCCCTTGAATACTATACTCAAGAAATGCTCAGAAGTCCTGCCTCTCAGAACCAAGCCTGCTCCCAGTACAGCACAGAATGCTGGGATGTTGTGCCTAACACATCCAGGATGGGCTCATGAGCATTCAGGGTCAAAGGACTCTAGTCCATGTTGCTGGGGTCTGCTCTGGAGAGGTCTACGGTTCTAGGTGTCCTAGGGTTTGAAACCCTTCCCCTTCCTTGCCCTTCTCTGTCTGTAACTTTGGCCATGAAAGAGGGGGTGAGCAGTGTTCTTTCCTGTAGACAGAAGACTCTACCTGGCTCCTGGCCTTGAGTTTGACCCCACCAGCCGTGGCTGTACTTCTCTCAGGCCTTACAGGAAGAAAAATAAGTGGGGCAGGGAAGGTTCCTCCACCCAGGAGGGCTGTTGGGGCAGAATGGCCCACACCAAGCCCCACCCAGCTCCAGAAGGACCTGTCCTCTGGCAGCCCCCGTCCCCCACTACCTCCTTGCCCACAGGAGAGGCGGCCACCTGGGGGAATTTTGGCTTTCCCCAGATGCCCCCACCACCCCCATCAGGCAGAAGGCCCGCTTCAAGATCAGAGATGCCAAGTGCCATCTCCGGCCCCGCAGCCAGGAGCGAGCAAAGGATACCCTGAAGCACCCCCTTCTAGGTAAGTGGACCCTCCCTCCCACCCCCTGCTTACCCAGGAAGCAGAGGCAAAGTCCTCAGCTCTGCTGGGTTGGGTTGCTACGCATACGCTCCTATCTGTCCTCCACCAGTGCCCCTAAGCCCTCTGATCCATGCCTGGTCTGCACTTCAAGCAATGGTCATGAGTGGGAAATATGGCTCCTGCA